GATTCCCGATCACTTAAAAATAATAAGTTAAACATAATTTAATTTTTTAAACTCCTGGTATGTTTACTGTGTACACAAAAACAGAACACAGTGCGTGTTATAATACACAAATCATACACACAATAACGCTTTGTGTGTATGAAATGTATATGCGTAAAACACAAACACATTTTGTTGATAATAATACACATTTTTTTCAAAATCCCGATACGGGAATATAAAGATGCCAATTTTACTTATTTAAATATAATAAGTATTAGAAAAGTCTATGGTTTCTATAAAAAAAAAATACAGTAAACACACCACTACCAATATATTATCTACGACTTCCATAGACAATAAAGCTTTTATCTCTTAATTTTAAAACGCGACGATGACATTGAATTTATACAGCCTATTCATAATTCACTTTAAAATTAAATTACTGAGAGTAATTTATAAAAAAAATGGACGTAAATTATTAAAATAATAATAAAAAAAACTTAAATAGATACATTACAATTATTATGATTATTACATGATTTCCGTTGAGAATGTGTAGAACAAATTACTTTAAATCGAGTTAATTGATGTTTATAATAATTTAGGAACTTATTGACTGATTTTATAGCGATAGAAAAATTATTAAAAAAAAAACCAAATTTTTGAAAATGAGAAATCTAAAATTCATTACTTAAATCATGCCTCTTATTATCTGGAGGGGTAAGCAGAGAATATAATAATATTACATTAACATAACACTTTCCGTTTGCCCGTAATGTTATGATATGAGTCTACGTCACAGTAACAATCGAGCTGCCAAAAGCTGCAAATAGTTAAAATGAAGAAAATTCACAAATTCAAATTTTGTGGTACTGACGGACAGACTGACTGACGGACAGAGGCCTTAGTAAGAGTTTCTTTTCGTTTAAAGTAATCGTAACGAGACGGCGTTAGTACGAGTTTGAATTACGTTTAAAGTATTCGAAACGAGTATGCGTTCGGCAATCTGATTGGACGTGGCTGGGCAACCGGCTGCCGTGCAACGTGTCGCGGGTTCGATTCCCGCACGGAACAACACTTTGTGTAATCCACAAATTGTTGTTTCGGGTCTGGATGTCATTGTGTATGCGAACTTGTATGTTCGTAAACGCACCCACGACACAGGAGATAATCCTAATGTGGGGCAAGGTTTTTTTAAAGAAAAGAAAAAAATATTCGAGTACAGGTCTGGTAATGTCACCGCCCGTTAGAGCGAGACAGATATGGTCGACTTCTAAAATGTCTGATCGCAACTCGAATTAATACGTTTTACTTACGATTTTGAAATTACGCGCAGAGACAGCGAGATCGTGAAATTAAGCGTATAACAAATCCGTACTAAGGCCTCTAATTGGTTGGTTCACTAGAGCCGGCCAATCAGAGCGCCGAACGCGTACTCGTTACGATCACTTTCAACGAAAAAGAAACTTGTACTAAGGCCTTTGTCCTATTTACGTCAAGTGTATCTATGAATAAAGATTCTATTGAAATAAATAGTTAGATTTTGATTATATAATTTAAAAAGTAGTCACTCTACACATACTCAAAAAACTAGAGCAATAAAAAATATAATTATAAAGGGTGTAATTAATAAAAATAATTAAAAAAACCATTAGCACCTCACGCGGTTACACTTATTACAATAATTAAATAATAATAATAATGTAATTAATAAAAACACTTATTAATGTATTAATAATAATACATATTACACAAACTGTTCAGTGTTTGTTTCTTTTCCTATACACAAATGTAATACGATTTTTCTGTATTATAGTTGCGTATTGAGGTTTGATTCCCGGGTCGTGCAAAAGGTTTTAGCTATTGATAGGTATTTATTTTCAGGTTTGATAAGTGACGCACTTGCTTGGCCCCGGAATCGAACACCAATGTTTAGGTATCACATTTATGTATATGAATAATTGTTACATTATTTACCATTGTGTAGATATAGCATTCATTAGAAATCTGTAGCCATTTATTGTGAGATAGCAATTAAATTATAGAATTTATAAACATAAACGTTTTCGAGCATTTCCGCCTAATTTCAGATTAACAGCCCCGGTGTAGCTCGAAATTGGTCGAACATCCTCGAACATATCGAATATTAATGTACATTACATAGGAAATTTATTTAAACCACATTTAACTAAATAAGATTACTTTTTTATAATAACTATCGTGAGACATACTAAATTAAGTAAAAACGCGGGTTACTCACGTGAATATACTGAGAAAAGCTCATGCGTGCACGCTGCTCATGAGGAAGAAACCCTCTGTGGTTCGAAACTAGTAGAGCTTTTCTCAGTATATTCACGTGAGTAACCTGCGTTTTTACTTAACATTACTTCTTATCTTTGAATAAAGTCTGAATGAAATAGAAACTGATAGACAGTTTTAAATTTTTACTCATATATTTAACATAAGATTCCGAATTTGATATTATAAGGCTATATCTACACAACGAAGTAAAGCGCACCGTATGAACGATTTTAATAAAGATACAAGCAACACAATGAAATGATAATCACAGTTTAGTAACCAATTCGACTGCATTCTGATTCTTTCATAATTATAATTCATTTTCACATCAAAATGCCTAAAAAATGAAGGCTGTTGAAATAACAATTTTAATCTGTAGCATATACATACATAACATAACATCACGCCTTTATCCTCGAAGGGGTAGGCAGAGGTGTACATTACACTGTACAATGTAACACCCACTTTTCAATATTTATGTTATGAGTCCCATGTAATAGGGGGTGAGCTGTCTGTAGAATTAGTGAATTGTGAAAAAGAAAAATAAGAAAATAGAGATCTGTGAATGAGATATCTGTAGCATATCTATCACTTATAACCACTTTCTATCATCGCACCGCTCGCCCTCGACTGGGAGTTCACGCTCACATATTGGAGCCGAAATGGTCCCGTACAGTTCGGTTTCAGAGGAATTTGCTCCCACGGACCCTCCCATTGTAGAATCCCTGCCAAGGTTTTCCCGGTGGACTATAATATGGGGTTCGTCAAGAAAGGAGTAAACAGGTTTATAAAGTGTCGGCAACGGCAAGGCTCATGTAATGCCCCAAGTGTTGCAAGCGTTTACAGGGCACGGTAACCACTTACCATCAGGTGGGCCGTGTGCTTTTCCTGCCACCGTCGTGGTATAAAGAAATATATTGATTTTATACTTAATGTTAGTATTTTTCCAGCAACTTTTTTAAAAATAAATAAGTACGCTGTTTGATGCTAAAAAAATGTGACGTCACAATACACAATCTCGTACAAAATTCATAGAATACCTACTTTGACAGTACGAAAAAAGTATTGAATTTGACTATCTATCAACTACCGTATTCCAGACTGTATTACATAATATAAGTGGCATAATATAACTGTATTACATAATATAGCCTATAAGTGGCCACTGCTGAGTAAAGCCTCTTTTCACATGGAAGAAGGTTTGAGCATTATTCAGTACACTTGCTCAATGCGATTTCTAACTTATAATTACAAGTTATAAGCCCAGGTTTCCTCACGATGTTTTCCTTCACCGTTTATCTATCTGTATAAGACAATTTTCGAAAACCAAAAACCCCTTTCAGAAATAAATTATTAGTTCAACAGCCTATACAATAAAAAAAAATACTAAAACTAATAATAAATTCTAATAGAATGCCAATATTCTGCATAATTTTCAAAATAATAATAAATTAACCTATTTTTGTACGTACTATACGTACTTTAGAATATTCTCATCCTAAACTTTATAGACATGATTATTCGAAACTTCATTATTTTTTAGTAAATATCACTTAATTATTTAATGATACTGTATCATATACATTTTGGAGAATTTGTTTATAGTTGTATATTTATTAAACCGACTGTGTTAACGTCAGTAATGTGTTTTAAATCCTTAAATAGGAAATAATATATTTTTATATATATTTTTAAGACTAAGCCGGTAAACTAACAGAGGGATCACCTGATGGTAAGAAATCGACGTCGCGAATGGATACCTGGAACACCAGAGGCGTTACAAGTGCGTTACCGGCCTTTAGGAGTTTGAGGATTGTTGGGGATTCAGGAATTTGAGAGATTGGGGAAGGGGGGGGGGGGGCTGTAATTGGGCCTCCGGTAACCTCACTCATACGACGAAACACACGCAAGTGTTGCTTTACTATGGTTTTCTGCTCAGTCGTGGTATCACTCCGGCCCATTCGTGCCGAAGCTTAGCTCTCCCACACTTTACAATCTTTATCTATTACCTGCATACTGAATACCTAGGTTGTATGTATCACAAATGCGTCGAATATATATTTTTTAATGATTTAAAACACATTACAGTTAAAATACACTGTATTCCTAGACAGATAAAGAACAAAATCGTTTACAAGTTCTTAGTCAACATATTAAACGGTATTTTGATATTTATTTACCTAGCAATAAAGGTTGTTTTCGGTCGATTACCGTCTGTTAAGGTATTGACAACTTTTCATTGGAAATAATAGGATTTTAAACCTATTTTACACTTCTATCTGATTTACACCCGATTTCTGCAAGTCTAATTAACGCAATAACCAACAAATTGACCGTTCAATCTCTCGTCAAGAGCTATTTACGTAGCTTAAAGTTTAAACTAGACTATATGTTGCTCAGAATATGAATTTTAGAACACAACTTTAATTTTTTTATGCAATATTCCAAAATAAAAGTATTCTATTACTCCTTAATCTCCACTTACACCATTATAGACCTTATTTCCGATGTTTAGGAGTCTACTTTCGTATGAACAAGTGTTGTGCATTTTCATAATCGGACAATAAGAAGACATATTTGTATTGTAACTTTCCTGAGACATACTAAATAAATTATAATGTTTTCGGCTTACTCACGTTGTAATTCGACGAGGAACTCGACTAGTTTCAAGCCATGCTAGAGGCTCATATTCATGAGCAGCATTTTGCGACCCGCGACTCGGCGACTACTAGTCGAGTTCCTCGTCAAATTACTACGTGAGTTAAACCGAAAACATAATAATTGATAAGGCAGACATGGTTAAAAGATTGGTTGATTTTTGCGTTAAACTTCCTTTTAGAGTTCAGGTGTCCATATTTACTAGTCTAACTGACAGATATCTGTAAGTTAATCTAATTGCAATTTGATCAGATACTTTAAAAATAGGTTTTTAAATTTTATGCTTACAAAATGTAAAGCATACCTTTATATTGTATGTCCGTTTGCTTGTGGTATTCTCCTAAATGTGTGTACAGTGTGTTGGGGGCTCCTTAGTCCGGCGGCAGGTAGCTGAACAGTTTGTATTTGTCTCTTATGTACGGACGTACGTCGTCTTTCTGTGGGGGAAGGGAAAACAGGTATTAGATTTTCATTTCTATAAAGGGATAAAATGGGTATTTTTATATTACTTTTACATAACAAAGCAGCAAACTTGATTGTAATACATCTGGGGTGGGGACCTGGAGATTTGTAATACAGGTATTTTACGCCTAGACACAGACTCCAGCTCCTCACAATGCCATAAAAATTGATTATAAAAAAAATGTAATACTAGATTAACGGTGTATGTGAGGAGAAATAAAGAAATTTATTATTATTATTATTACATACATACATAACTTCACGCCTGTCTCCCATGGGGGTGGGCAGAGTCTATGGAACGCCAATTACTACGATTCCTACATACCTCTTTCGGTTCATCAACAGTCATCATGCTCGTCGGTTAAGGGTACTTTTAATTTGGCCCTTCTTTAATATATCGCCAATTGGTCACTATACGTCCGTCTAGAGCGCCCTCTACCGACGGCCCCATTCATATCCGCTCTGTATACTTCTTTCGTTAGTCTACTTTCATCCATCCTTTCTACATGTCCAAACCAGCGTAACATTCCCTTTTCAATCCTTGTCACTACATCATTTTTCAATCCACACCTTTCTCTAATAACACTAATTTTCACTCGATCACTCAATTAGTAATTAGTCCACACATACTTCTCATTATAATACTTTTATTTTTTTTTTAATCGTTGCTTTCAAGGATTTTCTATTGTGTGTGTAGTGGGTGCGTTTACAAACATACAAGTTCACATACACATGACACCCAGACCCGGAACAACAATCTGTGGATCACACAGAGTTGCTCCATGCTGGAATAGAACCCGCTACACCCGTGACGCGACGGCTGCCGCGCTGCTACTGGACAGTACAGTATGAGCCTCTAGCATGGCTTGAAACTAGTCGAGTTCCTCGTCAAATAATAGGGTAGTATCCTAAATTTTATTTTATTGTCCGTCTGGTACATTAATTTAAAACTTTACACACGTATTTTTTCTTTTCTCACATAATGAAATACTTACTTTCGACGATATATTAATTTGAAATATCGTGTGACGTCACAGCGTGCCACATTTTGTAGCACGTTATGACGTTACTCCTAAACTTAACGCCATTTTATCTAAGTACTAGCTTTTACCCGCGGCTTCGCTCGCGTCACAAAAGGATAAAAAGTAGCCTATGTGATATATACCAATACACAGCGCCATCTATACCAATACTTTTGTTTTCCCTCGGGAATATCAAATTTTTCCGGGATAAAAAGTACCCTATTATTTAATCCGGACTTCTAACTTTACGTCTGCAAAAATTCAAAGCAATCGGTTTAGTAGTTACGGCGTGAAAGCGGAACAAACAAACAAAC